CAGTTGAATTATACTGTAACAGAAAAAGAAGCTTATGCTATTTTGCATGCTTTGAAAGAATGGCGAATTTTTGTACTTGGTCGTCCGCTAACCATAGTAACTGACCATAAAGCTTTATCGTTTATACGATCTTGTCGTTTATTAAATTCGCGGTTGACACGTTGGCTACTCTATTTTCAAGAGTATGATTTCGAAATTGTTTATTGTAAGGGTAGTGAGAATGTCGTAGCCGATATATTGTCGCGTTTTCCCGTGAAGAGTCAAAACGATAGTGTGGAGGTCCCCGAATCAATTAATGTCGAAATTGCGATAACGGAATTTCAGATTTTGCGAAATAAATTCAAACTTCTACCGGAATTACAAGAAAATGATGAATTTTGTAAACAAATTAAAACACAGTTGAGTTCTGAAAATTGTACCGAGAGAATCAGAGATTGGTTTATGATATCTAACGATATATTGTTCAAAAAGGGAACCGCGTTGAATCCCGGATATAAGGTGTGTGTGCCAAAATCTCTTATCAAAGAATTAATAACCGAAGAACATGAAAATTATGGGCATTTCGGCCGAGATAAGTGTTTTCATTATTTAAATAAATTTTATTATTATCCGCGACTTAAACATTGTATAAATCAAGTCGTGTCGTCATGTGTTCTTTGTCAAAAGGTTAAAATTAGTCCTAAATTGAATGGAGAAATGGGTCACGTGATACCGGAAGCTCCTAGTCAAATGGTTTGTTTGGACCTCATGGGACCTCTTCCGATGTCTAGAGGTGGTGTGACGCAGTTATTAGTGGTCGTGGATGCGTTTAGCAAGTTCGTTTGCTTATATGCATTAAAACGCGCTACGACTCGTTCAATTTTACGATGTTTAGTTACTAAATATTTTGAGAGAATGGGACAACCCTCTGCCATTTTGACGGATAATGGGACCCAATTTACGAGTAAGCTTTGGCGTGAGGAGTTGACTGATCGAAACATACAAGTACGTCATACCTCAGTTTATTTCCCGCAAGGAAATCAAACTGAGAGATGCAATCGAGAAATCGGTAGGATTATTAGGTCTATGTGTCATTCGCAGCATACTAAATGGTCAACCGTATTGCCTAAAGTAGAGTTATGGTTGAATCGATCATATCATTCCAGTACAGGTTTTACCCCGATGGAATTGCATTTCGGCAATGAATCTGAAAATAAAATGGTTGAATCTATTCAATTTCCTGATGGTGAGAAATTTCATCTTCCAGATCATTATATATTCTTGGCTCATGAGAAGTTAATAAGTAAGGCAGCTCAAAGGAAGGCTAGACATGATATTAAGAAAGTTGTTCATAAGTTTTCTGTTGGAGATAAAGTATTGGTAAGAACTCATCCCCAATCTTCGCTATTAGAAAGGGAAATTAAAAAGTTCTTTCTTTTGTATGAAGGACCCTATCTGGTTAAAGCTGTGGTGGGATTGAACTCCTATGAGATAGTGGATGAATCAGGTTGTGCCAAGGGTATACAAAATGTTTGTAATTTGAAGAAATTCGTGGAAAATTGTCCAAACTTCTAAGAGTATGTATCAATTCTCGTTGATATTTTGTGTTTGTATTTAGGATAAATTAGTATTAGTATCTATAAGCAGTAACAAAATTATAACTCGAATTGATAGGGGGGTGATGTAACCGCTCAATAGTGCTCCGCTCAAAGATTAAATGTTCTGATTGATTTGTGAGTGTTGCGCCCAGACTATTGTGAAGTCTCGAGTCCCGGCGATTGCCGGCAAGCAGTCATTAGAGGTCAAGTAAGGACGTTGGCGGCCTACGTGCTGAAGAGTCAGTCGTCGCCCGAGAGTTGAGAAGGGTAGACGGCGTTCTTGTTCGCCCTGTGGCGATCTATTTTTCTATGAGTATTTTCACGTTACCAAGCTAGCTACTCATTAATCTGCAGAGGCAGAATATTGTTGTGCACTAGTTAGTGTGTTCCAGTTCCTGGTACCAGGCGAAAACGACTGCAAAACCCTAGAAAGGGTTACGTGAGTAAACAAAACCAAAAAACTGCTTACTACAATAATACAGAGATCAATTGTGTGTGGGGATTTGGGGAATTTAGACTGCATTTCTGAGTTATTAGGACAGGACGGATGTTTAGAGGATATTTGTTTCTATTTTAGGATTTTAGGTTGGTCCGATTGACCATACCGAGTTGTTACTTGGTTGTATTTTGTATGTACCATTTCTTCGTATTCTTGTGTTGAGAGTAAAAATAGATACCTATTATACTTGACTAATTCTGATTTTCATATGGGACCTTTTTCCCTGAACATTAATAGAGTCTATCACAATTTACCATTGGCGTTCGATGTTGAGGGGTACAAAAAAGGCCTTTATTTGGGAAAATGATATTGGGACTCATTTTAAATACCTATTTCTTATCAGATTCATAATCAGCGTGCCCAAAAATCCCCCAATTCATATTCTCAAGATCCCAAGAGCCAAGACAAAATATTTTAAAATCCCGCTCTTCATGACAAATCTCAGTTATCAACGATGTGATTTTCTTGAAATTTCGATGGTGATTGTATATATAAAACAATAACATACATTTAAAAAAAAACATTTTTTATATCGACATCCTCGGAGTCCGAGTCGAGTGCCATCAAGTAACCTCATAACTTGACCATCGAACATCAGCTTTCAGACTGAAAGTTGATGTTCAAGTTCAATGATGACTTGACCCTTGACTTCAGAGTAGGCCCTACTTGACCTCTATCAACAGTTACAAACAACTTGACACTAGCGACTAGCGTCTAGAAACAGGACGCATCAAATATTGCGAGCGAGCTGTGCTGAAGCAAGTAATACAGGAACTGTCCAGCCTCTGACGAGGTGCGTGACAATATTTGGTGCGTTCTGTCTCTAGTTGCTATCGATGTATCGTATAATTACATAACGCACCGACTGCAAATGGAAATATGGCATGACATTATTGTTTTATTCATAACATGATGAGTGAAATGATCTTGGCGAATACAACTCGTTTTATTGATGATTATCGAAAATCCCTACCTACTCTTTTTCGAAAAAAATTATGTTGCTTGCAGGCAATATAATTTGTTTCTCAATATCGAACGAATTTGTATTTCCATAATCATCAATATACTTGTTGCATTACATGCGATAATTTGGTAATTTTACACGTAGAAATTGAAGAAGGAATAAAGCTCGATCATTTGGAATCATTAGAAATCAACAAACACAAAATTCTAACATTCGACTTATTCATCAACTATGGACCTCAATAATTTTAATGTATATATATTACAGATATTGTGCCTACTTTCCGAAAATTAAAGTATATACAACGTTTCCACAGGTAATTTTAGTCTTTTAGGTTGGGAAAGTAGGATATAAAAGTTAGGCAAGCCAATGTAAGTTCAGTTTATTGTCCCAGAAGTCCACCTGAAGAAGTTACTGTGTTAGCGAAACATGTCGTGTGATTGAGAATTGAATGAACACTTTTTTACTTTTTTGTATCTCCTGAAGCGCACGAAAGGAAACTCCGATAATGTTCGTGAAACATCATGAGTACCTATATACAGTGTGTCCAATTACCATGCTCACCATGGGTATCTTTTTAACGGTGAGAGATACGAGGTCGGTTAAATGACACCAAATGTGGAGTTTGTCAAGGCCAACTATAATGTGAAAAAAAATTTTGATAGAATTTATTCGTTTTTGTTTTATACGCAAAAAACAGAATTTGATCATTTTCATGTCTCCTCCGTAACTTCTTTATTTATGAAAATATTCAAATAGGAATTTCACATCCTCATGGAAGTTTTTCAAAGTGATTTCGAAAGAAAAAAATTCAAAATTTATACCATCTCGTCTAGAATTTGAGTTATCAGCACCAACTTATGTTGTTCAAATGTAGGTCATAGCTCACTATGACATAGTTACAAATAACTTTTCTTTCTCTCACAGATGATATGTCGCAGTAATAGTTTTGTGTTGATAACAACGGAGTTATCGTCATTTATACAAAAACAAAAAATTATTTGGAAGCCGTCATCTTGAATTTATAAATTTTAACAAGAAAATCATGATCTCCGACCTCAAAAACCCCCACTTACCAATTCTGAATGGAATCGGACCAAATCTTGTTTGCCATCAATTCAAAAAAATGGCTGCTACAAGATGGCGGACAAGATTTGGTCCGATTCCGTTCAAAATTGGTATGTGAGGGTTCTTGAGGTCACAGATCATGATTTTTTTGTTAAAATTTATAAATTCAAGATGGTGGCTCCCAAATATTCTTTTATTTTGTATAAATGACGATAACTCCGTTGTTATCAACACAAAACTATTACTGCGACATATCATCTGTGAGAGAAAGAAAAGTTATTTGTAACTATGTCATAGTGAGCTATGACCTACATTTGAACAACATAAGTTGGTGCTGATAACTCAAATTCTAGACGAGTTGGTATAAATTTTAAATTTTTTTCTTTCGAAATCACTTTGAAAAACTTCCATGAGGATGTGAAATTCCTATTTGAATATTTTCATAAATAAAGAAGTTACGGAGGAGACATGAAAATGATCAAATTCTGTTTTTTGCGTATAAAACAAAAACGAATAAATTCTATCAAAATTTTTTTTCACATTATAGTTGGCCTTGACAAACTCCACATTTGGTATCATTTAACCGACCTCGTATCTCTCACCGTTTAAAAGATACCCATGGTGAGCATGGTAAGTGGGACACACTGTATAGAGAGGATAGGGAGAAGAGGTTGATGTTGGAATTCTTTTGCATATTATAATATCGATACATCAGAAAACATCTATTCTATATCAAATTGCATCTGATAGATATCCAAACTGAGAATGCATCAATTGATGCTCGAATTGATGTATGTACGATCAAATTAGGCCACATCCTTATGATTCATGAAATGCAACTGAAAATTATTTTAAATGATTTTTATTTTGATGATTCATCGCTTTTTTCTAGCATGGATATTCTCTCAAATAGGCCATGGCTATAATACCGCTCTCCTCAGAAGTTTCTACGAATCTATTTTGGATCCAGCTAGCAAAAACACCTGTTCGTCCTACTGTGAATTGCCTATTTCCTTCTCCAGAAATATGATCGAGGACGGAAACTGCTTTGAAAATGTGACTACAGAGAAGCTCTGTGAAATGAATGATAATGATACATCGAAAAATACCTCAGCTCTATCTAGTTCTTTGAACGAACTCGAAGAAATTGTAATAATGGGTTCTATGCTGCCAATGAGTTCCACTGGTGGAATTATCTCGTTCTTTTGTGTACAAGTTTTTATTTTCAGTGGTATTTTAATATTGAATTTATGAAGAGATTGTAAAATGATAAAATGAATAATTCGATAATTTCTTGGAAAATGTCTTTCCGGGAATGTGAAAAAATATGGAGTTAAGTTATACAGTGTGTTTCAGATTTCACTCGTAAAAATTCGAATGACGATAGCATTCACGAGAATAAAAAGAAATTTTTATATGGAATCATATATTTTGGAGATAGTCAGATAGAGAAACTTCATTACCATATTGTATCTCGAAATGAAGCTTCAAAATATATCTACAAGTTTATATGTACATATTTCTCACTGTTACGAGTTGAAAAATAGAATGTATCGCTTCAGAAGATATACTAAAAACCTTTTTTTGATATTTTGATAACCATCACTTGTTCAGGTAATTGTTTTCCTGCTAATACTGATGATGTTTTTATGGTAGTTTAGTCAGACATTTCCAGGAATTTATGAAATTATTGTTTTCAATATTGATGAATGATTTTTCTCCATGTTATATAATTGTTCAAATCGATTTATTTCGTTGATGTGAAAAAGACTAATTCTTTTTCTCTGAGAAAATAGAAGTTATATTTCGTCCCATATATTTTACTCTTGCACTTTTTTTTCAAGACACCCTCTGTTTATTTATACAGTGTGGCCCACTTCAAATAGTATGTACCACACTTGTGAGTGCTCTTTCTGTATACCTTGATTATTCTGGATTGTTCTACCTTCATCTATTTATTTCTATAACAGTAAGATGATTTCAAATACTCATTTTGCTTGCAGTCAAAGAATGGTAAGTTATTCAATTTGAAAGAATTATAGGTAACAACATGACAGATCATCCTCAAGTGCGGACTGCATATCGTGCATGAATTCATCATAAATGTAATATTTAAAATTACTTCTACATCATATCTGACAAAAAATAGTAAAAGAATCAGGGACGGCAGTAGGTATATTCTGATGATTAGACGACTCTATAATTATCATTTTTCACTACTAAATGTATCCGAATAGGGGTACAATAAAATATAATAAAAGTGAGAGTACTTTTTGCATCAGTTTGATATAAACTGGGCGTCAATTGATACGTTAATAGTGAAATTTGGCATCAAGTTTGACTTCTCGTAATTTCTAAAATATTGAACGAATTTTGAATTGCCGCCCAGATTCTGAATGCCTTTTTCATTGTCTTTCGAACCCTTCCTTACAGCTTCTTCTTAATTGACCAGGACCCGTGATACAGGGTGAAACAAAGTTTCGTGCATTTTGAAAAGAATTTCTCCGCCCCCCATTTTGTCGGAAGACCACGATGCTCATATTTTATTCAGGCATTTCATAAATAGCAACCATACCTCGGGACGTTTTCGAGTTTTTGCTAAAAACTACTGTGGTTTCCGAAAAAAAAATGTTTTTTGCATTTTTTTTAAATGGATGAATCAGTCTATTTATTGTCATGACTGACTTATTGCAAATGGTACTTAAATGAGTTTGGGTATATCCTAATCGTCGTAACCTGAAATAATAATTATCTGTACTGAATTAATTATAGTTTATATCACTATAGTGATCTTATCTAATGATATTTTCCATTTATTTGAACGAGGCATCTTTAAATTCTTTAGGACCCGAATTACACTGACGTTTTCATGAAAATTGGCAATTGATATAACCTCTATGCATACCTACATTGTTTCAACAATACGTTGTTATAGAAACAAGGTATCGTTGTTTGTTTTTGTTGATGAGATGTGTTGATTTACTGCGCTCACTAAGGTATAGAAAACTTTTATCATAGACTGCGAAGTAATAAATTATTGATTGTTTTTGAGTAACCTGGTATACATATCTGCTCCAACGCTTTCCTGAAATGCATAAAAGCATCCATTTATGGAACTCCTCTAAAATTAGTCCATTTAAAGAAATACATTTTTTTTTTTTTTCGGAAACCACAATAGTTTTTGGCAAAAACTCGAAAATGTCCCGAGGTATGGTTGCTATTTATGAATTGCCCGAATAAAATATGAGCATCGTGGTCTTCCGACAAAATGGGGGGGGGGCGGAGAAATTTTTTTCAAAATGCACGAAACTTTGTTTCACCCTGTATCACGGGTCCTGATCAATTTAGAAAAAGCTGCAAGGAACGGTTCGAAAGACGATGAAAAAGGCATTCAGAATCTGGGCGGCAATTCAAAATTCGTTCAATATTTTAGAAATTACGAGAAGTCAAACTTGATGCCAAATTTCACCATTAACGTTTCAATTGACGCCCAGTTTATTTAATGTAAAATTAGTGAATACCTACCTCGGTATAAACCTCAACATTCGTCGTCTTGTGAATGAATTGAAACAGAATTCAACAAATCGTTAAATTTTTATGGCATGATCCTGCAGCATATGATCCGGATTGTGGCTTGGGTATCATAAAGCAAGCAACAAATCCCCATACTGTAATCAAACCACTAATCTCCGGCACATAAAAATCACCCTTCCTTCCACCCTCTCACATTCCCCAATCGAAAGACCGGTAGCTCATAACCTAACAAATCACTCACCTCAATTACACAGCCTGCCGAGTGAACTATCATCAAAACAGATATGGGGTTGCCCGTTCAACAAAGCACACAGGACACCAAAAACAATCTAGGAGGCATTTAAAATTTCGATTAGTCCGGTGAGGTCCATTTCCTCGCTTTCACTTTTCTCGCCGCGAGACGCGTAAACAAAGCAAATGGCGGAATGTTACGCGCCGCGACGCCTTGACGACGTTGCCAAGTTGTACGCAGGTTTTATCATCAGCCACTCATCGTTCAATTAAGGAAAATTGACAACGGAATAGCGCTAGACTAGTGATGAGAACATCGAAAAATTGCTAGATCGATCCACGACAGTTATAATTATCATTTTCGTAACCGCGGCTGGAGATAGTTCCAGACGATTTACGATTCAAGGTGGCGTATGGATCGGTAACAAGGCCTAACAGAATGCACATGAGCTGGAGGGCCTCTTGTGAAAAAAACACTTTGAAACACCCTGTACATTATATATAAGGTGCATTAGCCAAAAAAGGCAGCCGAGTCTGCAATTACATAATGAAGATATTAAATCGTCCACTCATAATAAGACCCATTATTGACATCCTGTGTTTTCTGAAGAAATTGAACAACGATTAACTGCGATCATTTATATCGAATGTGATGGATGATTCCTCAACATACTGATAGCTACGAAATTGTAATCAAATCAGCTAATATAGGGCTTAACGACATTGTTAGCGAACGATAATCGGGTTGAGTTGAAAAACAGCTTTCTGCTGATACTCCGCCTATTCACCATTGCAGATAGGTAGGTATATTATTATTATTATAAGGTATGACAAATTATCTTTGTCTTTTGATCTGTGCAATTTTTTTCTGCAAATGATGAATAAAGACGATTTATTATTATTATTATTATTATTATTATTATTATAATCGTTACGGAACGATATTTGTTATTCTGTAACTAACGATTGTCGTACCTGTGTACTATAAAACTTATCGTTTGTAGACGATGTCGGCTGAGGTTTTTTGAGGCATTTTTCTGTCGTTATGTGATGGAGACATGGAAAGATAATTTGAATGCTGAAAATTGGGAAATGAATAACTGGGCATTATTAGAGCTACTTCTAGAAGAGGTAGCACGCAGATAATGAACTCTTCATTGTTTTTAGTGATTGCATTGGTACATTATACATTGTTATATTATATAATATCATTAATAACAATTCAGACAACAACAGACAGTTACTCAGAATATTCAGGGATATGAGTTACGTAAGGGGCCGGCAGCTTCTTAAAAATTGGTTCGACCAAGACCTCACACAATACAGGTAGGTAATATGTTCGTATAGAGTATAGACCCTACACTAGGAACTAGGAACTACGAACTAGGCACTCGGACCTAGGATTAGGACCCTATAATGAATAATAAAAAATCGTGTCAACCTCCTATATACTCATTGGTATCGGCATCGATACACAAAGACAACGATAAGAAAAAGAATACTGTCATTACCTTCCTGGAGGGTCTGTCGCTGATACGGACACAGTCCAAATGTCAAAGATGATGAAGTCGATTAGCCCTGATCTTCTGGGGCAATCTGTAATAAATAATTCATCGATACCTTACTTGGAACAAAACTAGTTGGGAAGGCGTACTTACACAAAGATAAGGAGTGATGAAACGATGACGAACCGGAATCCCTGCAACAGGCATCAATTTCCACCTGTGTTTCCACCAAAAGCATCAAGAAAACTTCACTTGAGTAGACTACACCATAGAAATTGATTTGGTTTATTTATAGTTTCACAATCAATAATCCCAAAACTTGGCTGAATAAAAATCAGAATTTCGTGAAACTACTTCGCACGTTCATTTACTTCTCGTAAAATGTTTTCGATTGCGCGATGAAATAATTCGATCGCTATGCCTCGCTTTTTCAGTTCGCACAAAAAGTGGTTATTTTATTGTTTGTTCCCTCGCTTGTTTCGTCGTTCTGACGGATGATATTTTCAAATACAGGGTGATCAATGTTATGAGTTAGCATTTGCCTATTTATGAATGATATTGTTGTAACTGTCAAAATGGACTGTTACAACTCAACAAAATTTGAAAAAAAGGTCATGTGTACATGGGTCCGAAAATGCTTCCTTCCTGAGATATATAGGTTGTCCAAGTTCAAAAGGAAATATTTTCCGTTAAGATCTTGGAAAAGATATGTCTAACGGAGGGTATTGAAGTTGTGTTGTGAATTTGTCTTTTTTGTTTGAATAATTATTAATGTGGAATACATTTCTGGGTAAAATAGCAAGAGACAGATATGTTGTATTTTTAAGGTTTCATCAGAATATTCAAGGAGAACCCGAAAACAAACATAGGGTGACATTTTTCTGCACGATGGGTACGTCCCTGGAGATTCTGGATCGATCCTGATTGGACCAGTAGATGTCTGATAATTGTATTGATAAACCATAAAAATTTCGTTCGAATCGGCTTAAGCGTTTTCAATATATTAATAAAAAAACTCTTTTTTTCCTCAATTGGACCTCGGAAACGAAGCATTTTCGAACTCATGATTGTTGATATGATTTTTTTTTCCATATTTTGTTGAGAGGAATCTCCCCTATGTGTTTGTTACCACAACTACTAAACACCCTGTATACATCAGTGTCATTCATAAAGTCTGCATCATATGGGAAAAACTTTTAATAATGACTTATTTTGAAATCCGAGT